ATACACTCTTCAATTCGTGAATCGTCATGCGTTTACACAACAAATTTCAGCTGAATTCTCGTACTTCTCATTAACGAACTCACATGTCCACCAAAGTATCAAAGTATGCTATTTCTCTTGGGTCGAACTGTGTTACCTCACGTCCACTCGGACCCTCTGGAAAGTCTAGTTAGGCTGTTGAGTCATAATAAGACTTTATTAATATTAAATTTTCTGCCATTCTCATTTCTTGAGGTTTTACATTTATTGACCAGGGGTGTGCGATAGACTTACCTCCATGTAGTGCACCCTGGGCAACGTATACTCATACGGCAAAAAGGCCTATTAACCGGCAGTTGACTCCAATCTACAATGACCTGACTGGCATATTCGATCATTTCCACAGTACTCACCTCGCCTTTTTTCTACCTTTGTCTGTCTCTTTTACATCATTGAGACACTCTTCTGTTCCCCCCTCCCTCTCGACTTTTTTTACTTTGATGTTCCTTCCCCTCTGTGAAGCCTGAAGTCAACCATAATATCTAAACACCAAAAGTGGGATCCATTCTAATTTGATTATAATTTCGCCTATGAAGACTTAAACAGTCCTTTATACACCAACTGTGCGTAAGTGCAGCTAATCTACTGAGTTATCAGAGAAGTAGACTAAGGCAGTGGAAAATTCGCGGACTTTTCTCTCATATGAGAGGCCTAAATTTCATCTCGCGGATTGCTTCACACAGACACACAGAATAAACATCCCCATCTCAATGTCTTCATCTTTGATGGAACTTTGAAGAAGTGAATTTGAAAGGCTAAATCGCGCAGGTTCACAAATACCCACTCCCATTGCATGCGCGCGACTTGGGTCACGTGTTCGTGTGCGTTCGTGTACGAACTAATCGATGAGGCTTATGCGGCTATTGTGTACTCCCCCAGTCAGCTTTTATATTAAACAAGGATAATATTGGCTAGAACTACAAAGAGATCATATCGCGTATTTGGCATGGGCTTATTTATTACCGAAAAATTGTGGTTTTCGGGTGGTTGATAGAATTCGAAAGGCGTAATCAGAGTGAGACAAACAAATTACTTCCACTGGGTGTGTGGGGGAGGGGGCTAAGTAGGCAGGCAAAAATTGAAGGACTAAATCTACTTTAATAAATCATTAGGTCCAAAATAATAAAATATACACACTAGTTCCCACTGTGAAAGAAAGTCCAACGGAAGTGGGAATAATTCGCCGCTTGATTACCACCACCTGGGAGCCTTAAAGAAGAAGCCACGACGACATTGATTCATTCAGTAGCCGATTGAGCAGCTTTTCTCTTGCACTTCCCTGCTTCTCACGTTTCACGTCATTAAAACTAGAGGAACGACATCTACACCACTTAAATCTACGCGAAAAATAAGTACAATGCACCGCCATCACGCTTCTCCCACTAAATAAGCAAAAAATAACACGAAACAACAGCAAGTAGAGTACTTTACTCAGCCGAGTACACAGAAAAAGAAACGCCTTTACATAATAATAATGACCATTCATTAGCATTCTTCCTATCTCATCTTGGCATTTTTTGTAAATAAAGAATGAAGTTATCGGATTCTTCAACATCCTCAATTACTTTCACTGACATTTGTCGTCATTCTTGTCAGAGATGTTACAGCGGGTTCCCTATCACTCAATCAAGTTAGCACTTTGGCTAGAAGGAGAAAATCTTTTCACCCCTTGGGGATGAATACACATGGATAACGAAAGTGAGGAAATTGGTTAAAATGAAAGCAAAAGCAATACAAAATTTCAATGGTATAATAGGTCTCGAGTACTGATCGATGGGATGCCACGAGACCAACTCGCACTTTTATTAAAATGGAAAGGGGTAAGTCTTTCACCAACATAAGCACTTTACGATAACGTGATAATTATTTTAATTTTAGTCAAACGCACTCTCAAAACTCGAGATAAGCTTTTGCGCATATACGAATTTTATAAATGCGTCAAGTGAAAATATATGATAAAGCACCTTAAAAACCAATTAAATGTGAAGAATATCGCAGTTATCAAAATCGGCAAACATATTTTAGTGAGCGAAAAAAGACGTATTTCCAAGATATGAAAGAGTGACTTGAACGAAATCAATAATTTCTCGTGAGTATAATGATTCTATACCCAGTTGCTAAATAAGTGAGATAAGTGTGTTAAGAACAGAAATTGTCGACTGGGATTAACATTGAAGATAGGGGAATCAACTACGGATCGTTCAGTAGCGATAATTTAAACAAAAAAACTTGATTGCTTTTGACAAACAGTTGTGCAGCAGCTCGAGATATGTGGAAACCAACAGAAACATGCTGGTACGCCTGTGGAATGCAGAAGCTACGAATGCAATCCGTGATTTATAGGTACACACACGCACACACGCACATACACACACACACACACACAAACACACGACACTAGCAAGAGGCACATATACTGGCTAAAGGATAGCATAACTGTTGAGTGATTCATGCCTTGACATAGAAGGATCAGGTCAAGGCGCGTCCGTGCAATACGTATGCTGTGATGGGATTATATCAATCATATTAAGGTTTTAGACTGCACCCAACCAAACATAGCCTAGCTATAATCTGCAGCTCTAATCTACTACAAGGTGATAGAAGTATGACCGATACAAGGTGCTTAAGGGCAGTCCTATTATCATGGTGGTTTGCATATATGGCAGTATTATAATTGACCATCTAACAACGACTATATTACAAAGTTGGAGTTAAGGCTAGCACTGAGGCCAGTTCTTTGGTTATAAAACAATCCCATAGAGTTGATGAAAGAGTAGGAAATTACCCACCAAGCCACATAAGTGCTATCTCATAGGAAGAGGAGTAATTTAACCACTAGTGAACCTCATCACGCCCATATTCTTAGTACTAAACACGAACATGGGTTTCGGCTAAGAAGAAGTATTTGTATTAATTCAAGTTGTAGAATATCTGCTCTACTAAACGGTCGTTAAAAATGGCATTCCAATACTAACATCTCCGTCGAATCTCCAATGGGAAACTAGCCGAGAAGTAGTTAAAAAAAGAACATGTGACATTCTCACCATGAAAGTATTGATCCTTTCCTCCAACCAACCACATCCCACCCCAGTGAATATTTGCCCGCCTATGCAGTTGTACGACGTTTTCACTTGTACCCTAGTTAAACAAACCAACTTAATACAATAGTGGGCAGGAATATATACTGTGCACCTAAGAGCACCTTAAGTTTTTCCGAAGCAGGTGTGTGCATTAAAGAATTGACCTTGAACGAAGCAGATTTATTTTTTGCAAATATTTCTATCAGCATCAGTAGTAAAAAGTACACTCCAGTTGATAAGCGGGATTTTGGTGATCCATGGAATAAATTCCAATCTCTGATTTAAAGATGAATATTAGTAGGCAATCCATTGGTGTTTGTGAAAGCTCGAATTGAAAAGATCAAAATACGCTGAAAAATTCAGGCGAATCAGCGAAATGCAAATAAATGGTCTTTAAAATGACACTTGACCAGTTGTGGAAGAAAACCTAACTTAGTATTTGCCGAACAGACGGGAGTAACTCAGAAGAGAAGGAAAAACGAAACACCATTTTGCAGTTCTAGAATAGTCGTTTTTTGTCAAGCAAAATGAACAAACAGGCACCTACTTGCTTTAAAATCTTAAGCAGAACGCTCAGATAGGAATGAGAGTATTTGATGCCTGGTAAACTAAGAGATTCAAAAAGAGGAATAATTGCACTAAAGTGTACACACGACAATGAAAAGTTTGATGCATTAATGCCAAAGTAGCAACATTGATTCCATCAACGTCCATAAAAAAGTGTCACTATACCTCATGCTAATGAAATGAAAGGCAGACAAACCGTTCCCCACAGGCAATATTTCGAACTAGGCAATTCGATTACCAATAAATTCAAGGCAAAGGTGAAATCGAAATATTAACCGGGAAAAATAAACGATTAGACCACTCTATTTGTCATTGAATAAAAGCATTTTGTTAAATTTAGTTCAAATTGAATGTCCATCCATCTAAAGAATGCTAAGGACGATTACTTCGCATTTGCAAACTTCAATCTCCCTAGCCTACATAAGATTAATTATTTCACATAACAGTAAGCGGCAAACAAGAGCGTAATATTGAATAATAGTTGGGACAGGTAGAGTTTAATGTGGCGGAGAGCTCAGTAAGTGGCAACCGCTCAAAGTGAACTACAAATAAGAAAGCAACACAGAAGGCAGAGAAGTGATTAGTTTTAATTTAATAGCGCGTAAATCACAAGTACTTACACTATAGAAAGGGATTCTAGGATATTCCAAAGGAGTGTACCTAAAGTACACCTAATAATGCGACTAAGTAGCAGCACTAACCTTTCAATAGGCTAGGGTAAATAATGGATAGGTTCTAGTTAAGATATTGAACTTGTTGCAATGTCATTAAGAGGGGTGGATATGAATAGCAAAAATAGATGAAAACTTACAGGCATATATAGGAGGATTTTGCAGTACATCCGAGTCGACGGCATTAGCATAAGTATTTCCACTAGCATAAGGATGGCTCTGATGTTGAGATTTCTGCTGCTGCTGCTGCATAGAACTACCCGCAGTAGCTGCAGCGAAAGCCGCGGCTTCAATGAAAGCCGACTGGTTCTGGTAGTAGTTAGCTACCGCAGCCTGCTGTTGAGGATTAAGTAAATGTTGCGGTTGGTGATGATGGTGGGGATTGTAGAAGTCACTTGGATGCGAGGTAGCGGTGTTGGTGAGGAAGTTGGGAGGCAGATGCTGCTGCATCAAGCGACTGGTTCGCGGACGAGGATGTTGTTGCTGTTGAGGAAGGCTGGAAGATGGTGCAAAACCACCTACGAAATTACTCAGTCCCCCAATATCATCCCCGCTGGTACCCTCGTTATAAATGCCTGAAATAAATCAGAAAAGTATAAGCATGAAACTTTCAACGACTATTTATTAAGTATTTAACTATTTAGTATTGTTGCAACAGTCCAAAGTAATGCATTAGAACTGCTTAATTTACTAAGTCAATAACATGTTAGTGTGCAGTCGTCAATAAGGAAATAATTGGCATTATGAGAACTTGAGAAAAAATAATCATGCTGGAAACAATGTAGTTAATGACAATGTACAATTCTGAACTTCACTCGCATTTTGCTAATTATCGCATGGAGACACTTAAAAGGCCGAAGGTGGCGGTAGCTTTAGCTTAACTTGAATAAATTGAAGTGGCTCAAAATAACGAGTAAATCGGTTCATTCTCGAACATATGAAAATGTGTTAAACATCAAAAGCTGTTTAAAGCATATTAAACAAACTTTTGTATTAAAGGCCTATTGCACACAATACTTGTGTAATAAATCCCACATTCGCCCTTCACTTTCGGAGTTCAAATACAACAACATATCTTGAGGCATTCAGTCAGATAAATGGAGAATGATGATTAACGCGAAAGAGGGACTTACTCATTTCCCCAAGTTTAGAGGTGAGAGCTTGCATTTGAACTACATGATCTGCAGTCAAGGGAGTTTGATGATTATGATTATAGATTGTATTATTATTTAGCTGATAGTAGGCCGTAGGCATTAAAGCTCCAGCTCCACCTGCAGCTGAGGTATTGATAGCAGCATTGGTGTAAAGTAGATCTGTTTCATTGGCCGACGACTGGGGTAGATGCTGAGAGCGAATAACTTCTTCCACTCCGCCGTCCGCTGTCTCAACCAAGTATCTCGAATTGCGCTGTGATTGATGGCTCTGTTGCTGTTGTTGTTGTCTGTTCTCCTTTGACCTTCGCTTCTTGTGGTAGTAGACCTAAATGTACAGAAAATGAAAAATATAACGATGTGCGTATATATTCAAACAAGTACCCAGGCTAAAATATGCATAAAATAAGCAGGGTTAGAGACGCTTTCTAAGAATATTACCTTTTTATAAAGGGAAATCGATATATAGCTTGGACTATTTTAATGCTGACAAACATACGCTAAATCATAACTATTAATCATGGTTGTACACAGGTCCATATCAAATTGTTCACTCATTCATCACTTACCTCATTGATCTGTTTATAAGTCTTTATGAGGTCAACGGAGAGCTTTTTGAGGGGCACGGAATCGGTGGACCTTTCAGCCGTGGAAAGCGATTGGCTCACAGCTAGACTAGGCAGACGAATAGCTGCATCATAGTGATCCAGACCCGCAGCTGCCGCCGCTTGAACTGCTGCAGCTTGTACTTGGGCGGCCGCCATTGATGCTCCCATGAGTCTTGATAGGGCATTATTCACGGGGTCGTCGTCCTCCCCCTTCAGCGCTAACTCTTCATTCGCAACACGAGAAAGGGCAGAAGAGAGGGAAGGAGATCGTTCATGGTTGCTGGAGGAATCATTTTTGCTGCGGTTATAAACAGGCACAAGAATATCCTCATCTGTAAGCCGACGATAAAGACCCGAAGCATCAAGTGGAACTTCTGATTCCTCTAAAATAGCCTCCTCTTCTTCATCCTCTTCCTGGTTATCTCCATAGAGTTTCTGATGACGCGAACTGGGAGGAGGCGGAGGCGGGCGATGTCGAGATGAGTAAATGGCCGCAGTCCCGCTTTTTCCAATAGCCGATGGGGAGATTGGTGGAGGAGGATCATCAGTGGTGGATAATTCAGGGTAATAAAAAGCATCGTCATCATCAACCTGAACGTCATAATCACCATCCTCACTGAATTTAGGGTTAGTAAAGTGAGTCACAGGATTTAGTGGTGAGATTGTCACGGACTTGGAGACCACATTTGCTGCGGGAGGGGAAAAGGGCGCTGAGGTTTCATCGCTTTCCTCACTATCTCCACCGACTAAAACCAACGGTGAGAAAGTTGGTGCCTGGGACATCGGTTGATGGGATTTGTTAGTGCTCATCGAAATTGATCAGTCAACACAAATTCCATTCAAATTAGGATTTCTAGAAGAACAAAGCAAACATTTATATTTATAAATAAATAATTATTGTTGAAAGTTGGTAATCAATTTAAAACATTTAATAAGAAATGAGAGCAAAAAAGCGACAAATCAAAAGAAAAATCAGTGTGGAAAACTGCAGACAATACTTGTTTTTTTGCAAACACCTAAACCAACCCACTATTATTACCCAATGTTATCCATAGCGTTGAAGATTACTTGGCCATATTCGCCAATATTTAACACCTGACCAACTTTTCGAATTGCGCGCGAGTTATTTAGAAGCCATTAATATTTTAAATATTAATTTCATGATTAAATGCAATCATCTTTTCTTTCTTTATTTAACAAACAATATTCATAAATAACCACTTTAATATGAATACTTGAATCAACAAAATACTAGTTGAACATTATAATTTCACTTTATTACTTAAATTAATGGCCATTACATGAATCCGTACAAACTTTTTTGTGATTTATGGTGCCGTATTTCCTATATTTATCGACACAGTTCTGAAATAATTTAAACAAGTTTATTATTAATTACAAACGATAATAGTGTTTACTCTTTGAAGGCATATGCATTTAGTGTATTATATAAATACCAAAACTATAGACTTGTAAAATTCGTATATATATATATATATATATATATATATATGAAGTTGTCATATCCTTAGTGATTGAGCTTAATTTTTTCCAAACACAGGAATACCTTATTTGAACTGGTATTGATATTACTCCTTAATTAAATATAGGAAATCATTGCCTTATTGAATATCGCTTACTCAATGTTGCATTGATGTGCTTTGGAAAATTAGTATGAGCGTTTTTCTCTTTAATCTTTGAATTTTTCCGAAATGATAACTTTTCAGGCACAACATTATGAAAAACCCAACCAGTAATTAAATTTACATAATTACGTTCTTTTTCTTGTTACAGTTTGGCTGAATATGGTATTGGAACGATCTTAAAGAGTATCAAACTCTTGGTATGACTTAACGAAAAATTTCGTTTTATCGCTTCATAACATGATAGATAAATTTTCCTCTGCATCGGTTAAATTACCATAAGATTGGTTAAAGGGGTACAATATTCTGATGAACTATAAATTTTGAACAAAATTTTTTTCTCCAGTCTCTCTAAAAACTAGAGTAAAATTAGTAATGAAACACTTTTCAGTTGTTTTGTGATGGACCAACCAGAGCGTTTCAAAGAACCCAACTTTGAATCACTGACCTGTTTGTTTTTGGAAATTTTTGATAGGAAGAATTATTTTTTCATGATATTATCCAATAAATGATTACTCTTAGGCCTATTTATTACGTGATTTGATCAAATTCCAATATGAACAGTCACGTTCCAAATGCAACGAGCGTTTCGCGGCACATTTAGTGGGTTAGCGTTTTCCCAGTATTTTCATCAAACCTGTAACAAAATTCCTCTGTCCTGTTTGGAATCGGTGAAGATATATGGAGATAGTAATACATGCATCTCCTACCCATGTGTTTATAATCATAAACAGCTGATTGGAATAGCACTACTGAGGCTAACTATTTTATGGATTTATTATTGAATACTTCATCCTAATTACTATAGTACTTTTCTAATATGGATTACTCTATTGAGAACATTAAAAAATGAGCTACATATTTTACGGAGTCCATAGTATAAAATCTGGTGACCATTATTAGCGCACACAACACTTTAAAATTAATTAACAATAAAAGCTATAAAAGAGTAACATTTCATTTGATTTTGAGTTCGGGTTTAAATTTAATGATTCGGCTCTGGTTGGTAGTAAGGGCCTTATTGGCCAGGAATTTAATCATGGTAGTGGATCTTGCCACTTTAATTAATTTTATTAGGATATTCATAAGGTTTGAGCCGTGTTATAACAACGATGAGAAAGGTAAAAATGTTTAGCTTAGCAGGAATCGTATGCTTGTGATACAGTTTGTTGCTTTTTAAATAAACGCTTTGACAATTTAATCGAAAATTCGACCTTTTTATTTTTTTTTAAAAGCGTAAAATTTTAAACTTGGCTCCGCCCAGATTCACTGCTATAAATATCACTTGAATCAGCCTATTTGCTGAAATCTAGTTGCATTTTCATATTTTGCAATTTAACATAATGTTTATTAACATTCTTAAACAATTTACTATTGATACAGACAGTGGATCTGGAGCCGAAAATCCGGCGCGTAGTTAGAAAAAGTTTGCGTTTTGGGTTTTTTATTCGACGTGATCACCGTTTCGTAAATGGTAACCCAGACATTCGTTTCGGTGTTTATAAATACGAACCAGGTTACTTGCGAAACCTAAACACATTCACGACGTTATTTGATTCGCATTCTGCACCTTTTGCACATATGATAGAAAGCTACTTAAGCAGAAGATTGTGGGACTCTTCATCAACGTTCAAATAGAAATCCTGCTATAGAACTTTACTCACAAATATTTAGCTATTAATATTCATGCGAATCATGCTAGACTTATCTGATAACTAACCGCTTTGCCAAACTCAACACTTCGCTATCAATATACGTACCGAATAAACGTATTCCGTGCTACACGTCTGCTCCCCTTATAGCTGGGCTATAGCTTAGCTTGTTCTGGGAGTCTAGCTAGATGTTGGAGAATCTGCCATAGAGATTTCTGAGTCGGTCAGGCTTTATTAGAGTAGCGATCCGCTACAAATTGGTGACCCTGACGTGATACAAGCCTGACTACATCCGCTCAGCAGTAGTACAACCTCATTTTGGTGATACGAGTTTATTTGTCCGCTCAATCGTACCCGGACTGTCAACCTCTATCCAACTCTCTCATCGATCTTTCCTATTTACAACATTATGCCCAAAGAGACAGAAAACAACCAATCTACTACCATCCCGAACTGGCCGACCTTTAATCCCAGCNAATCCCAGCTGTGCAGAAACCTGGTTTATTCAGTTCGAAAATACCCTCAGGATTAGTGGTATCTCAAAACGTACCAACTGGTTCGTTCACCTAACAGTAGCACTACCGAGTGATATCCTACAATCATTTCAGGATCTAGTTACCAGAACGCCCGACAACAATTCATATGATCTGCTCAAGCAGGCTATCATCAGATACCTATCTGCTTCTGCAGAAAAACGTATAGAAAATTTCTTTACAGACTCCGAACTTGGTGACAGAACACCATCTCAACTTCTTCGTTATATGCGTTCTACGGTCGGTCCCGAGGGTGTGTCCACAAGACTGCTAAGAGAACTGTGGTTGGATAGACTCCCGGAACACCTAGTCACCCAACTATTGGCTAACCCCTTTCAAGACGACCTAGACCAATTGGCTGAAGTGGCCGAGTAGTAGACCTAGGGTCCACACTGTAAGGACTTCACCCCCACCGGACAGTATGTCGCAACGATTAGACAACCTTACAGATCAGTTACAAGAACTTAAGACAATCGTCTCAAATTTCTCAGCGCAACCCAATCGTCAACGCCCATTTTCATCTATCAGAAAAGGAAGAGACTGTCTGTTATTATCATCGCACCTACGGCGATAACGCAAAAAAATGTACCCCTTGGTGTCAGTACCCCAAACGCCAACCACGCAGTCTGGCGGGAAAAGAACACGCCAGGCAGTAACGGCGACGCCTGATCCTGGCAGATACCCTAGTCGCCTGCTATACATTACAGAAAAGAATTCCGAACTTACATTTTTGGTGGACACAGGCTCCGAAGTCAGTGTTATTCCGCGCTCTACTAAACAACGCTATACTCCAGCCACCAGGACCTCCCTCGTAGCAGCTAATAATACCCAAATACAGGTCTTTGGACAAAAGTTCCTTAATCTGGACTTAGGCCTCCCTCGAGAGTTCCCGTTTACCTTTTATATTGCGGACGTCCAACAGCCCATTATTGGTGCCGATTTCCTCTCGAGATTCCAGTTATTAGTCGATCTCGACGACAACGCTCTACTGGACAAGCTTACATCTAGGCGCGTGACCGGCTCGAAACGACCCTTAGGATCTGTTGGTTTGAACGGGCTTTTCCCAGTAGGTACCTGCTACTCGAACATTCTATCAGAATTTCCCTCCATCTTTCGTTCGCAATCAGAGATTTCAGGGACCAAGCATAGTGTCCAGCACCATATTATCACAAAAGGACAACCTGTCTTTGCAAGAGCTCGCCGCCTGCATCCTGACAAACTACGTGCGGCTAAAGAGGAATTTGAACGTATGGTTACACTAGGCATCGTTCGACCTTCCAACAGTCCATGGGCTTCCCCATTGCACATGGTCGCAAAAACAAACGGCGGCTGGAGACCATGTGGGGATTATCGGGCC